ACGCGCGGGGAACCTCAGGCTGCGCGCTCGATCGGGCGGCGACGGCTTTGCCGGCTAATGCGGCCCGGCGGGGAAGACGGTCGGCGTCGCTGACACGTGGGGCCAGCCGGTCAGCCGCTCGGCGCGGCTAGCACGCGGGGCCCGCTGGGCAGCGGCACAAGGCAAGGTGCGGGCGCGGGCAGCTGGGACGGCTGGGCTGGCTCGGCAGCCACAGCTGGGCTTCGGCCCATCAAGGCAAAGGCGCGCGCGGGGGCTGGCAGGACGGTGCTGCTGGGCCAAAGCGGACGCTGCACTGCTGGGCTGCGCGGGCCAAAAGCGCGGGACGAGCTAAAAACGAGGGAGAAAAGAAAGAACAAGGAAAAGGCTTTTTTTTCTTTTTATAAAAAGTTTTTAAACCACTTTTCAAAAACAATTTTCAAACTATTTTGAAATCAAAATTGATTCATTAATTGAGATTATTTTTGGAACATGTTTTTCTAATTTTGAAAGCTAAACATTTTTTCTTTTAAACAGATTTTAAAATGTTTTCAAACTCAAATTTGAACTAGTTTTCGAATAGGACTTTTGGAGCTTTATTTTCAAAAACGAAAAAGACCTATTCGCAGTTGGATCGAATTTTAGAAATTCATTTTTGTTCACACAAGAAAGACAAAGTAAAGGCACAACGACAACAAACAATCACCCTTCTTTCATTAACTTTGTAAAAGTTTTATAAATCCACATTTTCTCATTTTGTTTTGACAACAATTAAATAAAATCTTGGAAAATTTTAGAAAAATTATTAAAATCTTTATTTTATTTAGTGTTTTCAAATCACATTCCAAAATGGAAATTTTGGGGTGTGATAGGACCGGCCGTTAATGACGCCCCCGAGCTCACACCTCTGATCTTGAGCTCGACCAGCTGCACCGCTTACCTCAAAGAGAAGGCCGAATACTTAAAGGCTCGGTAGATCAACCTCGAGCTAGACTACACCGAGCTCGAGAGGAGAAGGGAGGCACTAGCGTACTATCCAGCATGAGAACAATAGCCATGCAGGGGCTCCCAATATGTTGCGCTTCCCCCGGGCGGCATACAATATGGAGCCCAACCCTCTTCATTGACAAGGCATTCAGAAGACGGAATGAAGGCTATGTAGCTCGAGCCTAAGTCTTTTCATTTACATTCTGTGTCTTTTCAATTTTTGATTCAATAAAAATTGTGACTTTGTTGCAGCGAACCCCTTTTTTCAAAGAGCATTATGTCCAAAGCCCTCCGCTGCACCTGGTCGACCGAAGCGAGGTGGAGAGCTCGGGGGCTCCCCCTGGCGTGTATTCCTGGGTTGACGTCGCTCATCACAAACACCCAACACACATGCCTTTCTCTCCATTCATGATCAAGGCCCCCACTTGTCCTGGCCATGCGCTTCTGGCCCCAGCTGAGCCACGCCAATACCCAAAGCACCAAAGGGGATTGACCCTAGCAAACGAGGTTGCGCCTAAAGCTCGTGAGGACCTAGAGACCTCGGGCGTCAAAACGGAAGACTAAATTATTCAAAGGCTAAGGTGCGGAAGGTTCTAGGATAGGAAAACAAATATGGTGGTGGACTATTGGACGACGGTGAAAACACTTGAACTAGGGTAAAGATGCGAACCTGACAATATCACCTAAAGCTTTGATACCACTTTATGTCAATCGGATCTCCATCTTCCATCCGGTGGAGGCAACTATCGATTTTGTAGAGATGCGACACACTGGTCTGACTTCAAATCACACTATTACAAATAGCCCTAGGCATTCGGGTTACTAGAATTTTTTGGGTCGGGTAATGAAAAACTCTACCCAAGTTTACCCAAAAATATTACTACCTGAAATTTTGGGTACTCGAAATTTTAGGTTCGGGTTCAGGTTTGAGTATACTCGATACCCAAATTCACAGAAATTTCCTTGGCTCCTGGCTCTAGACCGCTGGAGCTTGCAGGTGAGGGATCGCTGACTGGTGGTGAGGGCTCGCTGCAGGTGAGGGCGTGGACCGTCAACGCTGGATGCCTAGATGACAGAGTCAGGCTGTCGCTTGCATTGGCTCTCCTCTTCTGCAGGTGACAACAGACTGGGCTATCCTCTTCTGGGCACCTGGGGTCTCCTCTTCTTGTTCCAGGTGACTGCAGTGGCGGAGGGTGAAGTAGAATACAGGGGGGCAATTTACATGAAGACATATTCCGTGTATTAAGGAAACATCACAATTGCTAAGAGCAAAGAATAGGCAACTAATGTGGAGAGAGAAAAGTGTGCTTGCTATCCTTGTATGCATGGTGACACACAAATTCATTAGTACTTCACACAAGGCAAGGGGGGTAGAGCCCAGTTTGGCTGCCATTAGGCTCCGCCCCTGGGCGACGGCAGAGCCGCCACTGGTAGGTTTCGCGGAGTCGTGGGGTGGGGCGTGGGGGATTGACTTGACTGCATTGGTGCTCGCCTGTGGGCATCTCCTCTTCTGTTGCCTATTGGGCCGAATGAAGTGTAGTGGACTACTGGATAGTGTAGCATTCCGGTATCAGGTTATATATATGGGTAATACAAGTATCGGGACTTATTACCTGAACTACCGAAGTTTCGGGTATCTCAAGTTAATACCCAAAATTGCAATGGGTAGTTCAGGTTCGAGTAGTTCGGGTAGTTCGGGGGATTGGGTTTGGGTAATGGGTATTGGGTATTTTGCTCAGGGATAATTACAAAAATGGTTTTGGGAGATAGGCTAGTTTTATTTATTGAGGCGGACAAGACTTCACAACGTCTCAAGAAATACACTATGAACTTCAGAGGCGGTCTATTCATTTTCAAAGGCAGACCTCTTAAGAGGTCCGCCTCTATTAATCGCGGGAAGCCCAACAATCGTAATCGGCCCACTTAGAAAACCATAGAATATATAAGTGATAGCTCCTCCCTCCTCTCTCATTTTCCTCTCCCTCAACCGCACATAGGAAACCCTAGAAGACTCTCTCTCGAGAGCACTGGGCAAGGGTCTCAGTTCAAGCATGGCCCGCGTCCCCTTCGATAGCACGACCCCTCTAATGGCACACGAGGGTGCGGCACTTCCAACGGTGCGTGAGGGCATCCCGAGCGGTCTGACGTCGAGCGGGAGCAGTGTAGACATCTCGAGCAGCGCGAGCGGCCACATAGTGGCCTGGCGTCAAGTGGCGGTGCAATGGATCTAGCATAGCGCCATGGGATCTGGCATGGCGGCGGCGGATCCAGCACGACGCCACCGGATCTGGCACAACAGCGGTGGATCCGACCAGCAAGCGATCCGGCACAGCAGTAGCAACTCCATGGAAGCATTCCGGCATGGCTGCTACGATGGCGGCGGGCTTGCTAATGGGCTCAATGGGCTTGAAGGGCTCGCTAGCTGTTTTTTTGTTTTCTGAATTTATTTCCAGAGACAGGCATTATGCCGACTCTATAAATCTCCATTTACAGTGATGATGTCTCGGAGGCGGATGTGCTGCTCACCTCCGAAAATTTCTTTTGGCCATCTTTGAAAAGGAATTTAATAGTATGATTAAGCACTCAAAGTTGTGGTATGACAAACCAATGAACGGAGACTATTTAATGACAGATTGATCTAACCAAAATTCAAAACCTAACATGAACAGAGATGGCTTAATATAATGTCTTTGGGGGGATTCATAACCCCTGGATGCGCCACCTAATGGGCTCTAAGACAACCCACAGGCTAGTAGACTAAAAGACAGTGTCGTAGCACCCTAACATATTCTAGATGCTGAATTGTTTTGATGATTCCCGTTGACTCTGGTAGAACTTATTTGATGTGAAACCAACACCATTAGTTAGGTTATCTTTTTATCTTTCTTTGGGTAGGTAGACATCGAAAACAAAGATTGTATGCGCCCTAGGCATCCATTTTAGTGCAGTCTACTCCTGGAGGTTGAGCTAGACTTGAACTCGACTTTGGCTGGATCTCCCCTTTGACTTGGACGCCATTGTTGGTCGTCTTGACCTCCATGCCTTTCTCTAAACACTTCATGACCATCTCCAATGTTCGTAAGAATGGTAACATTATTATGTAACAATCTATTAATATAATCATGAAAATGATTGCTTAAGAATGAGCTCAACTCTAGATTTAGTTGTCGCATGAGCTCTAGTCATTGATGTTTTAATTAATTTTCATTTTTGATAATTCTAGCTATTAATTAAGTACATTATGTACATCTATATGGGTTATCTATTTTTGTATTCCACAAGAAGTGCAAATGGTGAAATGGAAATTAAAATTGAACTTTGTTATTATTCTCAGCTTATATGTATTGATTGTATTTTACATTGACTCTTTATTTAAGTATTTTTCTTTCTATTTGCTACCTAAATCAAACTACTTATTGTATTTTACACAAATTTTTATTTACTATAGGATATTAGATTACCATATAACAGTCAATGTTGTTGATCTTATTATTTCTTTTGTTACTTTGGTAATTTCCATACTTTTTAAGTGAGGGTGGGGACTTCTTTTAACTCTCAAATATTAATGGGATCTGCTCCACGTCAGTTGATGTACCACCTGCTTATCCATAAGTCACTAAATTGTGAAGTAGAACGAAATGCTAGTTAAGGTTTGTTTATATCGGTAACAAGTCACAAAAAAATTTGACAATAATTTAGCTAGAAACGAGCTTTAGTTCTCATTACAGTTCCAATTCTACGGGGCGACAGTTAACTTTTCTTACTTATATTCCAAAATGCTCAATTCTTTGCACATTTCGATGAACCAATCAGAAAATGAATCATTTGTCACTAGCTTGCCCAAAAACAATCGTTTTGCCAATAATGCCAACGAGTGATTACAACCAATGGACTTGCTAAGTTTATACAATATTTGAAAGTAGACATTGTCTCCCTGTTTTTCTTAATAAATAAATAATACTAGTAAAATATAGTACAAGTCTAAGTCTACAGCAATGGAAACAACGTTTCATCATCCGTCATTAAAACACCACCTATCATCCTTCGAACAGCTCTTCCAATAGCTCCTCCAAAGCAAGGGGAGTGTTCTTGGGTGGCCTATTGCTCTTCCCTTTGGCCGTTCGCTCCGCCAAGTACTTGCTGTAACCTGAAATGACTTTCCCAATGACGGCTTTGCGCAATCTCTTCCTAAGCTCAGGGTTTGGAACCTTCCACTGCTTTTGCATGGCGTAAGCTTCCCTGAACTCATTTTCGAATTTATCCAGCCTCCCGTCAAGGTTCAGGAGGCCGCGAGGTATGTGTATGTCATGGTACAACCAAGACATCACTGGCTCCCAAGAAGCATCGAGGTAAGCTTCTATGAAACTCTGGGTCTTGATAAGACCATCCAGATTTGAGTCCGTTTCTATTTGCTCCTGAAGATTTGGATCTGGCTGGTTAACGTAATCGTCCATTGGGGGAGGTCTTCCTCTGGAATCTCGTTTCTTGGGCCTCTCGATCTTGTAATCTTCGAACAGAGTCCAGGACGGCAGGAGCAAGGATGAAACCTTCTGCGAAATGAAGCTGCAATTGTTCATCAAGAATATGTACCGCAACCCAGGGTCCGAGATAAAATTTGATGTCTTCTCCATCTGATTCTCCAAGCAAGAGATCATATCCTTGATGACGATATCAACCGAGCTCGAGTAGTGATCGGGTTGAGACAGGTGTTGTTGTTTGTCCTGCAGGATGAGATTGAGCGCACGCTCGTTTCGCGACAGCAGCATGATGTAGTTCATCATCAGCCTGGTGGTCTTGAGGACGCCACCGACCTCTGCCAATGAGACTGTCCAGCAATCGTCCGTGACGAAGGAAGTTCTGACCTTCTCCATCATGCTCCATATGGCGTCGCTCAGCCTGTTCATCTTCCGTAGGAATACAGAGTTTATGGCGTCGAACATGGAGCTGGTCATGGACGCTTCTTCGAACAGGGCCAGGACGGCCGGCGAGTCATCCACGACGCAGGTGTACACCTGCAACATCCCCGGGAGCGTCTCGGGCGCGTGGTCGTCTTTTAGAACGGCGTCAGCCACGGCGTCCACGAAGTCAAGCATCCTGAGGACGCTTGCCTCCGCAAACCGCACGAACTGGGCCACCTCCTGCTCGCGCTCGGTCATTTTTCCGGTGGCCAGCAGCATCAAGTACCAGATAGCCTTCCTTACCCCGCCGACGGCCGGCGGCCGCTTGGCGCGGAGCTCCTGCTGCGTGATGCAGAGCACCTGCACCATGGTCTTGAGAGCTTTGATCCACCTCTCCATCATATCTAGGACGGAAGCGCATCCATCCTCCAGGTGCAGTTGCACCTGCACCCGGTCTCTTTCTCCTATACTGAGTACCCACAACACGTCCAGCTCCCCAAAAGGCTATCTTCGAGGCCAGGGCCGAGACCTCGGCGGTGTGCCGATGAGGAGCGACCAGCACCGAACGCTCGGATGAGGCCCTGCATGTAGCCGTCGTGGACCATCTGCTGCGCGATGGCGCGGAGCTTCTCGACTCCATCTGGGTCCGCAGCCTCCTCCCAGTCGGAGGAGAAGGACGAGGACCAGGGCGAGCAACGGGCCCATGCATCCAAAGCCGGACTGGAGGCCGAGCTCGCGCTCGACCAGCAGTAAGCCCCATCTCCCGCCTCAGTGTCGCAGCTCGCAGGGAAGAACCGCTGCACCGACCCGCACAGGCTGCGGGAGACGGAGACTCTTCGGATCGAATCGCGCTAGGTGCACAACGGGGAGTAATCGAGCTGTTGGTTCCCTAGCGCGGGCGCAAGCATTCTTCCTGTGCCTCTGCCGTACTGCATCATCTCTGGTACGGTTCGGTTCTGTAATCTGTATGCGCAGCAAGCAGACTCTAGCTCGAGGCATCGGGTGATGACTTATTGGCTAACATATAGAGGTGCGTTTGCGAGGGTGTATCTGGGCAGTCAGGCTGTACCTGGGCAGCCAGGCTGCAGGTAGGCAGGCTGAGCGTATGCACATGACTGGTGTTTGGTTATCGTATTCACAGGGCGTGGCTGTTCAGAGATTTCGCTTGGTTCACTGTATGTGAGCATCCGCTGTCTGACTGACATGTCCCGTCCGCATGCTTGCTGCGCTCGCGCTAGCCTGGCCGTATAGAAACGAAGCCTAGCGGCGTTTCTCCAGGGCCAGGCGGTGGCGTCGTATTTGACACCTGGGAGCCGGGCTCGCTCGCGGGCCAAGGCCGCAAACACGGGAGCCTGCAGCCCGGCCTGGGCCACCCTCGCAAACGCACCCATAGTGGCTCAAGTTCACTGGATATCAACCACGCAAACTGTTGCTCGCTTCGTTTTCCAGATACACAGCCTGTTCGGCAGCTCGTATTCGGCTTATAAGCCTTGACTTATCAGCCAACAAATAATATTTTTCTCTTACACCAAACCAGCCAGCAGTACTTTCAGCCATGACTTATAAGCCAATTCAGCTGAAACGAACATGCTGATGATCAGGTCAGCGTGTTTGGTTTGGAGACCGAATCCATGCGGAATCAATTGACGCAGCACGGGGTCGTTCGGTCCGTCCGTTGTTTTAGGTCTTTCGTGGATTGGCCGCTGACAGATCAGTCGGATCCATACAGTGAACCAAACGGCGTAAGTTGGCTCAGGATACAGGATCGGATAACTCCGGATGGTATCGCGATGCAAACCAAACTTGCTAATGGACCGAGCGATCGAGCGTCGTTTTCCCAACTAAGGCCGGTCACTGGCGTAGCAGGTATGAGAAATGCATTCCTTATCGAGAAGCAAACTCCAGGAAAGAAGCAGGAACCCGTCATGCAAACTAATAATCCTCCGGGCTCCCGCGTTGATGACGATCTATATATTAGCTAGAGCAAGCAGCTGATGTGTAAACTAAACAATGTACAGTCTTCCAGAAACTCAAGCGCCTCGGTCGTCGACCACGTGGTTCCCGCGAAGCATCGTGCAATCGTGTTTGACCGGGGGCACGAAATCTGACCATCGATCGACGTCTGCAGCGCGTGCATCGAAGAGCGAGACCACTCCCAGTCCCAGCGGCGGCGTCCAGGAGAGACGTCACGACTACAGTAATCGATGGTTCCTGAATGCTAGTTTCACGTTGAGTACTCCTAGAAATGCGATTCTCGCTTCTCGATAGTCAAATAAATTTCAACTTTAACCAAAATTATAAAAAACACTAAGATTTATAATACAAAATAAGTGTCAATAGATAATAAATCTTATTTGAGACATAAATGTTAATACCAATCGCTATAAATTTTGTCAAACTTTAACAAATTTGACCGGCATAAATCTCATAGTGTTTTTTTGACAGATAATACCAATCGCTATAAATTTTGTCAAACTTTAACAAATTTGACCGGCATAAATCTCATAGTGTTTTTTTGACAGAGGGAGTAAATTTAATTTTGTCTCAAGCTCTTCTCTCGTACTTTCAAATTGCATATTCAACTTTTTAAACTTGTCTCATATTCTCATCGTGGTTTCGGTACTTTCAACATCTCTCTAAAATTATCTCAAGTTCTCATCACGATCGTGCTACCTTCAAAATACACACTCAACTCTCTAAATTTGTGTTATTGTATCATCCTACTCCATATCTTTCCAAAAATTGTGATGCATATGCCCACCACACTCGTGTGGCCACATCGCGCTTGTCCACACAGAGTAGTGTAGCTCACGGGGCCGAGATGTACGACGGTAGCTTAGGAGGGATGTGTTGACCTAACTTCCAAGAACCTGCTAACCGTGTTTGGTTGTCATTGCCATGCTTGCACTACTACATAAATGATTTCGTGAGACACTGTCCAATCATCAACGGAGGATGTCACAAAATTCAATTGTCTCCTAAAATATCTGAGGATTTTCGGAGGCACTCGTTTTATTTACAGAGGCGGTCATAAATCGACGGTCTCCAAAAATGGATTTAGGGAGGCGCTAAAAAATTGCCTGTCTGCTAAAATAGATTTATAGAGGCAGGCCTCTTTAAGAGGTTCGGCTCCAAAAATGGAGGTCACAGAGGTGACCTCTTAAAAGGCCCGCCTGGTGGAGACAAAGCCTTTAAGAGGCCTGCCTATTTTAATGTGGCCGAGACCACTAACGATTAGGGAAGCCTATCTTGGCTTAGGAATCAGGTCACGGTATATACCTAGCCCACACAATCCCCCTCTCTCTCTTCCTCACCTATCAGCGCTCTTTCACACGCCTGTCCTCTCTGGATGTGGGGATTGAACGTATTTGGTGCCAGGAGCTGACCCTGATTGAAGTAAGGTTTGGCAGGAGCCTGATTTGGGAAGTAACCAAACGAACCTGGGGACGGCGACGGATAAGGACCCATCAAAGGCCCCATCGGCGGTGGGTATAATGGTGACGGTTGTTGGTACCATCCACCTTCTCCCCAACCCCAATCCTCCTCCGGACTTCTTAGTCTCGGCGGGCCTCTTCCACCTCTATCATGACCTACCATCCCCTGCTTCAACTTCGACAAAAGGAATCCTTGACCCTTTTCCCCTAGATGTCTGAAGCGAAGCTCAGTGGCGTCGCCAGGATTTATAGCTATAGTGGTCCATTGTCTAATTTTTTAACCGCTATAAATTTAATATGTCGGTACACAAGTATCTGAATGACAAAACACAATTAAAGAAAAAAGGAAACACAAATGTCCCATGCGAAGGGCCAAAGTTGATCTCCTTTGGAGCCCCACGATCACTCGGCCCGATCGGAAAACAATCACTGACCTCGAACTGCTTAGACTCCTAGCGATCCTTGGGGATCCAGACTAGATCCTTCCCCCTACGAGTAGCATCGTAGTTCCAAACTCTAGCCCGACGAGGGGTGGGGGAGTTGGCAAGGACGAACCACAGCTGCCCAAAGAAGTTCTCACCGCACCTTCCTCATCCTCGAGGTCCACTAGATCCACACCAATTGATTGTCTTCTTGACCCCTCCAGATCACGACACTTGCCCTTATTTCTTCGTGGTGCCATGTGTCTCACCATTGGGCCCTTCTTGCAGCCTCTCACGGGACTCTCCACACCCTTCTCCGCGGGCTGTCCCCTCAGCTGAGGAGGGGAACCTCTCACCTGACACAGACACACCGGGGGAGATCCCTGAGCTGTGGTCGGAGCCTCGCCACCCACGTCGCCTCAGTGTCACCTGAAACCTCTCTCATTATCGCGTTACCTGCATTATATATAGTTTGTGACGAGTGAGAGAGTCGATGAACAAACACGAACACAAGTGGAACATAGGGAAAATTTGGGCTGCAAAGCGGCAGCTTTTTCTGTTGATTGAACCTGAATATAATCTAAGTACACGCACTATTACATGGCCAAGAATGACCGAGAGGATCACGGCACGCTCATGCTTGGTCGCTGCCATCCTAGTGCCCTGGGCCGTTGAAAGGTCCTAAATGGCTAGATGGGGTGAATAGCCTATAAAAATCTCTACAAATACACTAGAGCAAGTGGTTAGTAACCTAAATGGCGAAATGCAATTTTGCTCTAGTTCTACAAGGGTTGCAAGCTGTGGACGGTCACTAACACCCGTTTTGACCATCAACATTCCACCCAAAAGCATGGTAAAGTGAGGTAAATCATCATCACATGTGAAGAATTTTGTTTATAATTCACCTAGTTCCACTTGTGCTTGTAGAATTATTTATATGCAGGAAATTTAAGCAAAAATAAGCAAAAATGTGACAAATATGGACACATGGAAGCAAGTGGACGTGGCAGGGAGCATTGGGCCAACTTGGTAGCGCCGCCCAGCCCCACTAGGGCACCACTCGCCCCCCCCCAAGTGTCCATGCCATGTCACCGATCTGTGGGAGCTACTCCAGAGCCAATGACAAGGGTCCATTCAAGTCGGTTTGATCAATGGCCAAGATTTGATGATAGTGGATCCATGGGCCCATTGCCATAGGCTTGGGAGGCTCCAACTAACTTACCAACCACCTTACTATCCAAATTTCGACATGTGCTGCCTCTACAACCGCCATTGGGAGCCAACCATTGCCGATGGATCAAGAGGCAGTGGAATGGAGGGTCGGCCGGCGCCGCCCTAGCGCCGCCTGGTACCCCAAGGCACCCAACCGACCTCCTGCTTCCTGCAAATACACCCCATGTGTTGATGGTCGTTAATATTAATCATAAACCGTCAACATATTCTGCATATGTACTTAATTTCATCACCAAAGATAGGAATAGGGGTTTAAATTAATGAATTCCATGAGCTTTGGTGAATATGTGAATGCAGGAGGACTTCTCCAGAA